CGAATATATAAGCTCATTGGTCAGGTAATCATTTTTTAACTGATATTTATCTTATAATTTTATATAATTATAATTTTTTTATAATTTAATTTTAATTTTTAGATATCCGAAAAAGATCAATCTTTACTAGATGAACGTATTAAAAGAGCTGCTAAAAATTATCCAGCACCTCATAAATCAGCTTCTACCAATAGACTTTCTGCACCTTCAAATGCAACACCCATTCCTTCTAATGAAGATATTAAAGTAGAATTTGAAGAAGAAAACGAAGAAGAAATACTTGAACCTCAGCCTTCTGAACCATCTCAATCAAATGAATTGTAAGTTTAATATTATATACATATTTTAAAATTTTTATTAACAATTATTATAAAATTATATATTTTATATATTATAATTTCTAGATTATATGTTATATTATATTATACATATATTTAATTGCTTTCAATGTCATTATTATATTACTAATATTAAATATATCAATTTAATATATATTTTTTATAATTATTTTATTTTTTTTATTCATTTATATTTGAATGAATTTGCTTTTAATGATTTTCCAGGCCAACAGAGATTGTAACAACAGAACATATAACAACAGAATCTTATGAAACTAATGAACCTCTTTCAAACATATCATCAGAAATAAATATTTCATCTCCAAATCATCATGAAGATGATACTAAAACGTTTGTGCTTCTTGTGATTTGTTTTCAATATGCTATATGGTGGCGGGTGTATTTTGGGAATAACAAATTGCATGTTTAATTTATTATCTTTTTAATTTAGTAGTGTAAATTTTTTTTTTATTTGATTATTACATATATATATTTATTTTTTCTTTTTAAATTTAATATTTTATGAAAATAATGATCTCATTAATTTTATAAAAAATAGCATATGATGTTTTAAATTTTGTAGTTTGAAATTGGTTCAATATTGTTAAGGTGATGAGATAATTTATTTAATTTAGTATAGTAATGTTAGATTAAAATTATATATAATAAACACCATTAATAAAATTTTATATAACATTTATATAATTTTCATTTTTAGAAATTCTCCAACATCAACACAACCAAAAGTTTCAGGTCCATTTGGACTTGATATGGATTTTTTACGAAAAATTGAGTTAAATGCACCAGTAAAGTATTGTAATCCTGTTCTTCAAGAAATTAATTTAACAGATTTAGATGAAAATCCCAACACGATAAGTTTACATAAAGTACCGTAAGTATTTACTATTATTTTTTCACAATAATTGTTTATATTTTCTAAAAAATTAGATTTTTTAAAAAAATAAATTTAATTCGCAATTTTTTTTATTTTGTATTTTTATATTAAAAATGAAGATTAATTAATTCTATTTATAATTATTGTTGAAAAATATAAAAATAAATGTAATAATCTAAAAAAATTAATATTATTTTCAAATGATAAGTAAAATAAGTTATTTGAAATATTAGATTTTGATAAATTTTTGTTAAATTTTTTCAGAGTGATTCCTCTATCTCCTCCAAAATTGTTAGTATCAAAATCTGCATCAATGGCGCAACAGCAATTGAATACTACTAATATAAGTAAAGAAGATAGCCTTGAACGTAAAATTCTTGCAATGGCTAGTTTAGATTTAGCTGTTGCAATACAGTCAATGAATAGCATAGACAATGTTCGTATTTAAAATATATATTTTTATATTAAATTATCATATTTATAACCTTCAATTATTTTATAGTTGATAAAATCTCACCAAATTTTGAGTTTGCAATCAAAAGAAGATAAATTTATTGGCTCGATAAATATGCAATTAAAACTTTTACAAACTTATCCTTTACAACAAGGAGGCACAGATATACCTAAAGGTTTTAGAAATACATTTATGGTTTTATTAGCGGTAAGAATTAATTTATATAATAGATATTAAATAACAGAAAATATAAAATATATTTGTGTTTATAGTTTTATGATACTGGAATTCTGGGAAAGAATGTTCCATTAATACATTTAAAAGAACTTGTGGATCAAATGATCAGTTTTTTAGCAGAGAACAAATTAAATCATTTACATCAAGCAGACTCATATCTTCGTATAGTTAATATTATTATTTGTAAAATAATAGATAATTCAAATCATACTACTATTATATGGTAATTTAAAAAATTTTGTTTATTAATATTAGAACTGATATATATTTAACAATATATTTTCATATTCAAATTAAAAAATTAATTAATTTTTTTTATTCTTTAATAATAAGCGTATTAATAAAATTACTTCATGGATGTGCTGAATCAGTTGCTCCATCTAAGTATGAAGAACTAGTAATGAAGTGTTTATGGAAAATAGTAAAAACAATTCCTAATTGGGCTGCAGATTTAGATTATGACAGTATTCTTTTAGAAGTACATCGATTCCTTAAGGTAATTATATTTTTTTATGAATAAAATAAACATATATTTATGAATAGTATTCATGATAATCAAGTTATTTAAAAATATTTTTTTATAGGATTATCCAAGTATATGGTGGAAAAAACGAAAATCTGATACTCCATTACGTACAATTAAAACAATTCTTCATAGTATGACTCGCGTAAAAGGCAGTACAATACTTAGTCACTTAACACGAATAAATAATACAAATGAATCAGAATTGCATTCCTATCTTATCAGACTAATTACGGTTAGTTTATTAGATAGATATTGTAAGATTTATAAGATTTAATATCTTATAAAAAGTATAATAAAGTTTAAATTCTTATAATAATGTTTAATAGACATTTAAACCAGATGAAATTAATAGTAATCCCAAATCGATTGTAAAATCCAGTAGCACTGGAAAAACTCAAGAACATTTATCAAAATTCACGCATCAACAGTTATCTGAAATATTTAAAAAGATTGGATCTAAAGAACATACACAAGAAGTATGTATTATCAATATTTTAGATATTATTCAATGGTTAACATTTTTCTATTTTTAATACTTATATTTATTTATTATTTATATATTTTGATATATAGGGTTTAATGCAACTTTATGATTTTAAACTTCAATATCCTGAGGCGGATGTACAACCTTTTTTGGTGAAGTCGCATCAATTTTTCCAAGATTTTATAGAACAAGGATTAAGAGATATTGATCAAGCACGAAAAAATCAAAATCTTATAACGCAAACTAATAATCAATATTCCACAGGTAATATATATTTAATATGAAATATTATAATTATTATATGCTATATGTAATTATGTGATATAGAAATAGCCGAATCTACTGGTTCTGAAGAAAAAAGCTTAATGGATCCATTACATAGGCTCGAAAAATTTCGAGCATCTGAAGCACAATGTAGAGCTACCGGTCAGCCAAATCCAACATGAATTAACTTCATTTAACATTAATTAAGTAAGGATAATAAAATTTACATATAATATAATACATAATTTATTAAATATTTTAATTTTCAAAAGAATAAGGTAAAATATACAGAACGTTTAAAAAAAGATTTTATATTAAAAAATATATATATATATATATATAAACAAATAATTCTTTGTTTTACAATATAATTTTTTTCTTGTTGAGTTAAAAAATTTAGTATACTTAAAATATATCACTAAAAATAATATGATGATCACTAAGAATAATAAATATATAATATATAAATATAAAGCACAGCATATTTAAAAATATATATATACATAAAATACAAATAAAATATAAATAACAGAACACATTTTTAAAAGTAAAATAAATTTTTAATGATTTCTTTTTTTATTGATGTTAATAGTCAGTTATCTATCACAAAGTAATTTTTCTATAATAAATTTTTAAATTTATATTTTTTAACTTATATCTTTATTTATACATTCTGTATGTTGTATATAATAAATATATTTATAAATTATTAAATTATGCATTGTGAAATAAAATTCAAATTAAAAGATTATATATATTTTCATATTTACATTCTTTTTTTTTTCTATATTTTTTTATTTTATACAAATAATATTGATAATAAATATTATATATATATTATCTATATGAACAAGTAAATTATATTTTACAGGATTGCAGTGCTTAAATAACTGGATTAAGAAACAATAATACATAGAATACAATAATAAGTAAATAGTACATAGATCATGAAGAATAATTGTACCTAATGTACGTAATGTTACACTGTCAGTGCAACATTATCTGTAGCATTTCTTGATTTTCTGAATAGATATACACATACATGTTATAATGCTAATTGCAAGAATTTTATGTGTTAAACTATTAAAATAATTGCGAACATGTTATAATACTCGTATTTCTCAATATTTGAAAATGACAATTATTTTACAGCTGATTTATATATTTCGTTACTTCTTTTAAAATAAATCTACTCATCAATATTTATCGTTAATTCTATATTTATATATAAAAGAAATATTACATGTTTGACATTAATTAAAATTTAATTATATATAAAAATCATGTTTTTCCATATTTATAATCCTAATATATAAATGTGGATTTAATATATTAATTTTTCATAATATACATAAAATAATATAGTATTAGTAAAATAATAATAATGATAATAATAACAAAAATAATAGTAGCAACAGTAATAATAATAATAATAATAACAATAGAACAACAACATGAATAATAATGGTAATTTAACATAAATGTCTTAAAAAATTTCTTGAGAAATTTATGTAATGTAAGTAGATTGTATATATATTCTAACATAAAATATTCAATAAAATAGCTTATAACAATATTACTTATTATTTTTACACTATATTTATACATTGTTGTTTAATATTTGATATATTGTATCATTTAATCTTACAATAATTTTATTCACATTATTAATTATTTATATCAATATAATTTCAAACATAATGTACAAAATATATACATAAGTACTTTTTAGAAATAAAATTTAGTGTACATTATGATTTTTACTATTTCATAACAGTCTGTACACAAATAGAAAAAGTATGTACATTATCTTATAGCAAAATATATTTCATGACATATAGCTACATAAATACTGTATATTGTTTTCATACATCTTCTGTAGGACTAATAAAAAGTGCTGTTAAAGCAAATAGTAGAAATACCAATCCACCAATTATGGTCACTAAGAATAATAAAAATATTTTCAATTATTTTTTTTTTTGTTTCATTATTATACGTTAATATTTAATGATTTGTATTTATATGTATCTAGATTATATAATTTAAAAATTTTTTTGATAATATCAATTTTTTTAATATAAAAAGAATATTTTACCTGTTCTCACTGAAATTTTTTTGAGCTATCATTCGTCCTCCTAATACTGCCAATCCTGTGCAAAATGAGTGTCCCAATATTCCACCTATTACAACTCCATAAACATCCTAAAAATAATAAATTTTTATATATTTTTTATATAAATTTATCCAAAATTTTTTTATGATTCTAGAATAATAAATATTACAATGTTACAAATATTAAATATAAATATCATTAACCTCTCTTGCTGCAAGTATAATAGTTGTAAGTTGTGAACGATCACCCCATTCTGCAAGAAATGTTAACGTAAATGCTTGAAGAAATATCCTAGATAGGAGCATCAGTGCACTAATTTTTGTTGCTTTCCTTATAACACCAGTTTCTGGATCTTGTACTAAAGTGCTTCCTGTTTCTTTTTCATACTGAAAGTGATGATATTTAAAAATTATTTAATTCCTGCAAAAATGTTAAAGAAATAGTTTCAAAACACTTATACTATAAAATCTAATGAAAAATTCTTTGAAACTATTTATATTTTTAATATTCATACCTCATCTTCTCGTTTTCTTAAGTCTGATTGTACTTCTTCTAATTCCTCTTGTCCTTCAGTTGCAGACATTTTATAACCATCTCGTAACATTTTTAAGCCAAATAAAGCAAAAAGTGCAGTAGAAATATAATATGTATAAACACTAGGAATTATGGTTGCAGCATATCCAAAAATTACTGAAGGTTAAAAAAACATAGTTGTTATAATTTTAATATAAAAATAAATAATTATAAATGAATATCTCTCAAATCAAATAAACAATTAGAAAGATTATTTATTAAAAAATTTTTCATTTTGTTCTCTCCTTTTATTAGATTTTCTATTATTTTATATTATAATTATAATATATGATATATTTTTTTATCATTTACCATTATATCATTTAAAAATATTATTACATATATATTAACATAGTAGTTAACTTATAATACAATGTTTTTTAAGATTACAAATTGCAATGATTCTATTTAATTATTTTAATTCTATATAAAAAATATTTATAAATTAATATTCATTTATAATAATCATTATATTATTTATTTTATTCATATATTTGGAAAAAATATTTTTGAAATTTGAAAATTATTTCAGAAAAGAATCAGCATTTAAAAATAAATGAAAAAATATTATATACATTATATTAATTTTATTTTTTAAAATAAAATAATTTTCTTAAAAATTTCACGAATATATATATATATATATCATGAATATTCCTTTAATTTATTTATATTCATTACTGATAAACATTGCTGATTATAATCAAAGCTCATAATAATATTACTAAATTTAGTAGCAATCACAATGATTCTCATAAAATTTAATATATACAGAATATAGAAGTTTATTATATTTCATAACCAAAGTAAAATAGAATATTTTATATGAATTTTTTTAATTATTTTTAAATGCTAAGTTTATTTTTTAAATGAATTTTTCTACATATAATATATGTATATATAGCATATGTATTACTCTGTGTGTGTTATGTGTGTATGTGCTACAAACTGTTTTATAAGAATTATATATTTATATATAATAATACCTGAAAGAAGAGTCATTAAAGCTAAAGCACTAATTGCTCCTATAAAAACTGTTAATCTTGGATGTTTCATTGCCATAATAGCAGCAATAAAGAAAGTTTTGTCTCCCAACTCAGAAACAACGATGACAGATAAAGATGCTACAAATGCATGTAGAAAACCAAGGTTATCCTTGGTTTGTGATGGTATTGCATTTTCAGGTTTCTAATATATATTATGAATATTAATATATGAGTAAATATATATTATTTAATACAAAATAATTAAATTAAATACTTACCACAGATGTCATTATCATTTGAAATCTACCATCATATATTGGTTCACTTTCACCTAATACTATAGATAAAAAAAATAGTTATTGCACATATATACAAAAAATATTCATTTATTATTAAAAATCGGTTAAAGCTCATTGTTTTTAGTTTATATTGATAATACTGAGGGCTTTAACTATAGTTATTTTGTACTGAAGACGTATCAAAGCATCTAATACACACACCGAAGTGTGGATACATGTACTGTTTTTAATGTTCCACAATGCAGATTCTATATCATAAAATTTAGATAATATTCACAATAAACATTTAATGCTTTGAAAATTAATCATCTACACACAAAAATATTTAATATAAAAATACTATAAATTTAATTATTTCGTGTAAATTAATATCTAAACTCATTAAACTTTTAAAAGATTTAATTTACAATTTTGAAAATATTTATTCCATGAAATATGTCTATAATTGAAAGATCACCACAGTTAGGAATACTTAAAATATATAATCATGCTAGATGTCACTGAATAATAATGTCATTTTGAGAATTTATTATTTTTTAAATGGATTTATAAAAAAGATAAATTTAAAAAATTATATATCAATACAAATTTAATAATTACAGAAAAATTCTTTTAATATTTATTATATATTTTATAACGCTCTCTATAAATTTTAATTTTGAAAACATTTTTAGGTACTAACTATATATTTATTTTTATATATCAATCTTTAATTATATATATTTTAGAAAAGTATATTGCTAATATTTGATATGTTTATATATGTTCTAATTATTTTATATAAATTAATAATTTTATTTGCAATTATAGTTTTAAATATAAATCATAATAAAAGTAAATAATTCAGTAATAATGTTTAGATTTATATCTATTATTAAAATTACTTAAAAATTAATAATTTTGGTTATTTATATTCTCCACGATTTTATAGTATATTTGCTTTTTTCATTAGATTGAATGGATTATGAATAGAATCATTATGGCAGTTGAAATAATCTCTAAACATTTCAATTTTACATACGTATAATTTTTAATCCTAAATGAATTTTTAATATTAATATTATTTATTATATTCTACTTGTCAAATGTTTTTGGAAATTGTAAAAATTTGTCTTATAAATTTTTGAAGAATTATTTTAATTAATATAATTAAATGTACATAAATAGTATAATTATATGTACATTATTTATCATTTATATAAGTTTCAAAACTTTTATTTTATTGAAATTGCATATTAACTATAACTAATATATAAACTATATTATATTAACTAGTAAAAAATAAAATATAAAATGCAGAAGATAAAAAAAGCAAAAGTGGTATGTAACAATAAAATTTTCTAATATAAGTCCAAAATTATTGATGAAAAAAAAATATATTATTTATAGAATCAAGCTATTGAAATACTTTGGTTAAATAAAAAAGATGGATCGAAAAAAAAGATAAAAATGGAAAAGATAAAAAAATTACAGAATGTTGATACTCAATGTAAAATCATACATTATTATAAAAAGAGTGAAAGACAATATCCAATAAGTTTTTCAAGGCACAGAATTCTCTCTGAAATAAAATCATATATAATAAAAAGGATTGGATTAAAGCTAAAAATTATTTTTATTATTACTTGAGTCTTCAATTGATATTGAACCATTAATATGGCGTTATAGTTTTATACTTACATTATATAGTAATATTGATAATTTATCTAATATTTTTCAATTTTTCAATATGTGTATTGGTAATCTACATTCCGATAAAAATATGATATTAAAAAATATATTGTTATTACAACATAAATAACATTTCTTCTTATACGAAATAAAATATTTCATTGAAATCTATCTTTATTTTCATAATCTCTATCAAAATACTTAAAAATAATTTTTAATTTTACAATTAAAATTCATCTGTAATAATATATATATATATATATATATATATTATATTATATATTATTTTATATAATAGCAATCATATAATAATAAAAATTACAATTGGTATTGCATTAAATAATTTAATATTTTGCTATGCATTAATATTCGAATGCATTTCACATGCTTTTTAACATATGTGTCATTAATTTTTAATATATATCTATGTATACATTTAATGATAGTAAATATTATTCATTTTATACCTATAATTATCAAATATTTTATTATATTTAATATGAATGTTATTTTGAGTTATATTTATTATATATTTATTTATATATTTATATTTATATAAAATTATAAAATAAAATATACTATTAACTTATTATTATTCTATTTATATATTAACAAATATAATAATATATCATAATAACAATATATAATAAAAATCTTACATTACAATAATATTTGATAATAATTATAAATTATATTATATTATAATTATTATTAAATTAAATTAATATCGATTTTATAACAAATTAAGATGGTGGAACCCAACCACCAAATACTTTCTCCAATTCTCGTGCTACAGCCAAACATAGATGATCATTGTATGGAGCTGCTATGACCTAAAACAAAAAAATTATAAGATTATTTTTTATTAAATTATGAAGTATCTAAAGCTTATTATCAAATATGTAAAATCAAATCTTTTTTTCAAATTCAATTATTCAATAATAATCACCTGTACTCCAATAGGTAATCCATTTTTATCAATACCAAGAGGCACTTGACAAACTGGAAATTTTAAAACATTGAAAAGACACCAGTAACCAAAATTATATGGTCGTAAAAAAGCTGTATAATGATATCCAGCTGAATAAGGTGAAGATGGATAAAACAATATCCCATTATGTTCTAATTTATTCTGAAAATAAAAAAGCACTATCAAACTTTATAACTTTATAAATCAATAATTAATATCAAACTTTTATAACTTAAAAATTAAGATTAAGATTAATTTATTATCAATTATGATTTATTTAAGATTTTAGGAAATCTTATAAAATTTTATAAGAATCAGAGGAAATCAAATAATATAAATAATTATATAAAGATAATTGTTACATAAGCAATATATCTAATTGAATATATTAAATATTCATTGAAATGATTATTTTTTCCTTATATTTAACGAAAAAATTATTCTGTAAATAAATCTCAAGTGATAAATCTTTTAAGAAAAATTTATAATTTATAATTACTTAATAAAAAAATTATATTAAGTAAAATCTTACCATCAAATAATTTTTCATATTTGTAGTAACATTTATTGCCCATTTAGCATCTTCTGCAGGAAATAAATCTTCATCAATTAATTTTAGAATTGCAGCGAATGTTAATTCACATTTTCCAGTTAACAATTTTGAAATTTCTGCAAAAGCACTTGTACGATACTAAAAAAAAAACTTGATCTTAATATGTTCTATTTTTTTTTGTTATTATATAGATATATAATTACATTATAAGATTTTAGACATATTTTTAGTTAACAATAAAAATTCATGTTATATCATATTTTTTTTAATCGTGTGAGAAAAGATAGGAATATTTCAATAAAACTCATTCAATTTCAAGCAAACTCATAGTCTTTGACTAACTATTGATCTTTTCACTATATATATACATAATATATCTTTACAAAATTATATAAATTTATACCTTTCTATTTGTTATATTTAATTTGAAATCCATATTTTCTTGTGTCATCCAAAATCTCCACAACCGATAACTGTATTCAGAACCAGGTATTTTTATCTGTAATACAAATATATCATTAAAATTATTTAAGAACAAAAAAACATAAAATGTAGTATATGAAATATGATTATATACATTTACAATTAAATTCAATGTACATATATATATATATATATATATATGAAATTATAATTAAAATGTTAAACGAATATGATTATCATATATCATATATATCATTATCACAAGTACTGTTATGAAGAATATAATTTGTATAATGTATAGCAAACTCACTTTTGTTATAGATCCATTAATTTCTTTAAAATGTTGTACAACTTTTAATAGAGCAGTTCTCATTTCATAATTTATTTTACTTGCTCTTATATCACCTGAATTTTCTTGGTAAAAGATATTAAGTTGTGTTATATCTACTTCTGCATCAAGATTAAGTAAGGATATTTTATCTTGAATTAAAACTTTTAAAAGAGGTATTAAATCTTCTGCTTTCTTACATATTGGACCTACTTCTGCCATTGAATTAGGATAATCTTCTTGTCGAAGTCCAATACCTTTTAGTGGTGTTAAACCTAAATTATTTAAATTACTTAGTAATAATTAATCATATTATAAATTTGTATAAAATTATTAACAGAAATGTTCAAGAAAACAGGAATGTTGCATGAATCGAATTTCAGAGAGTACCTTGCAATTTGAAAATATCGAAATTTTCGATAATATCAAGATTTAAAAAATCTCGAAATTTCAAAGAATTATGAGAATTTGAATAATATTTTATTTATTACAAATAAGATTTTCAATCTTTGAAATGTTTTAAAATCCAGCATTATAAAATTGTTAAACAGAAATTGTTAAACATAAAAAATTAAATATAAATGACTTAATTTAATAAAACATTAAGAGTGAATGAAGCAAATTTTGTAAAAGTTTATATTTAACAAATTTTCAAATTCGATTTTTTCGAAAACAGAATTCTATATAAAAAAATTGTATTTTATGCAATTTTTTAACTCATTTAGTATTTTTATATTATTTTATATTATACTTTTTAAATCATTTTTTCTGATTATATTACAATTTTAAAAACATCCTCATATAATAATGTAATTTGTAAGTTAATAAAATATGAAAACCTGCAGTTGGTTTAAATCCAAATACTCCATTAAAGAAAGCAGGCATTCTAATAGAGCCACCAATATCACTGGCAATAGAAAATGCAGTTCCACAAGCAGCAGTAATTGCTGCTTCTCCACCACTACTTCCACCAACATTTCTAGTGGTATCATATGGATTACATGTTTGTCCATATAAATTGTTTCTTGATTCAGTCCACAAATTTAGTTCAGGAATATTTGTTTTTGCTATTAAAATTCCACCAACATCTTTTATAAGATATATTGCTGTTGCATCTTCTTGAGAACGAAAATTACGTCTACTTATTAAACCCATTGTATGAAGCATACCTAAATAATTAAAAAATGAATACAATATTTAATAATAAGTCATTTAAAATTTAATAAAAAATATAATTAAAAATTATTTTCAAATTTTTAGACATTTTTTTCATAATATATATAACTATAAACATATTAAAATTACCTTTTGCTTCATTGCTTTCTTTTGTTGTAAAAGGAACACCCAAGAATGGTTTTTTTTCTTTTATTAAATCAGTATTTTCTAATGTTTGTAAAAGTTTGTCTATTTCTTTGGCTTCTTCTAAAGCATCAGAATATCTATCTTCAACAACTGCATTTATTATTTCATTTACTTC